TTGGTAGACAGCAACCGCCCAGGGAGGTACTACCGTCCTGTGGTAGTGGGTTGGTAGACAGCAACCGCCCAGGGAGGTACTACCGTCTTGTGGTAGGTTGGTAGACAGCAACTGCCCAGGGAGGTACTACCGTCCTGTGGTAGTAGGTTGGTAGACAGCAACCGCCCAGGGAGGTACTACCGTCCTGTGGTAGTAGGTTGGTAGACAGCAGCCGCCTAGGGAGGTACTACCGTCCTGTGGTAGTAGGTTGGTAGACAGCAACCACCCAGGGAGGTACTTCCATCCTGTGGTAGTAGGTTGGTAGACAGCAACCGCCCAGGGAGGTACTACCGTCCTGTGGTAGTAGGTTGGTAGACAGCAGCCGCCCAGGGAGGTACTACCGTCCTGTGGTAGTAGGTTGGTAGACAGCAACCGCCCAGGGAGGTACTACCGTCCTGTGGTAGTAGGTTGGTAGACAGCAACCACCCAGTGAGGTACTACTGTCCTGTGGTAGTAGGTTGGTAGACAGCAGCCACCCAGGAGGGTGCTACCTTCCTGTGGTAGTAGGTTGGTAGATAGCAACCACCCAGGGAGGTACTACCATCCTGTGGTAGTAGGTTGGTAGACAGCAACCACCCAGGGAGGTACTACTGCCCTGTGGTAGTAGGTTGGTAGACAGCAACCACCCAGAGAGGTACTACCATCCTGTGGTAGTAGGTTAGTAGACAGCAGCCACCCAGGGAGGTACTATCATCCTTTGGTAATAGGTTGGTAGACAGCAACCACCCAGGGAGGTACTACCATCCTGTGGTAGTAGGTTGGTAGACAGCAGCCACCCAGGAAGGCACTACCATTCTGTGGTAGTAGGTTGGTAGACAGCAACCACCCAAAGAGGTACTACCATTCTGTGGTAGTAGGTTGGTAGACAGGAGCTGCCCAGGGAGGTACTACTGTCCTGTGGTAGTAGGTTGGTAGACAGCAACCGCCCAGGGAGGTACTACTGTCCTGTGGTAGTGAGTTGGTAGACAGCAACCGCCCAGGGAGGTACTACCATCCTGTGGTAGTAGGTTGGTAGACAGCAACCGCCCAGGGAGGTACTACCGTCCTGTGGTAGTAGGTTGGTAGACAGCAACCGCCCAGGGAGGTACTACCGTCCTGTGGTAGTAGGTTGGTAGACAGCAACCGCCCAGGGAGGTACTACTGTCCTGTGGTAGTAGGTTGGTAGACAACAACCACCCAGGGAGGTACTACCGTCCTGTGGTAGTAGGTTGGTAGACAGCAACCGCCCAGGGAGGTACTACCATCCTGTGGTAGTAGGTTGGTAGACAGCAACCGCCCAGGGAGGTACTACCGTCCTGTGGTAGTGGGTTGGTAGACAGCAACCGCCCAGGGAGGTACTACCGTCCTGTGGTAGGTTGGTAGACAGCAACTGCCCAGGGAGGTACTACCGTCCTGTGGTAGTAGGTTAGTAGACAGCAACCGCCCAGGGAGGTACTACTGTCCTGTGGTAGTAGGTTGGTAGACAGCAGCCGCCCAGGGAGGTACTACCGTCCTGTGGTAGTAGGTTGGTAGACAGCAACCGCCCAGGGAGGTACTTCCATCCTGTGGTAGTAGGTTGGTAGACAGCAACCGCCCAGGGAGGTACTACCGTCCTGTGGTAGTAGGTTGGTAGACAGCAGCCGCCCAGGGAGGTACTACCGTCCTGTGGTAGTAGGTTGGTAGACAGCAACCGCCCAGGGAGGTACTACCGTCCTGTGGTAGTAGGTTGGTAGACAGCAACCACCCAGTGAGGTACTACTGTCCTGTGGTAGTAGGTTGGTAGACAGCAGCCACCCAGGAGGGTGCTACCTTCCTGTGGTAGTAGGTTGGTAGACAGCAACCACCCAGGGAGGTACTACCATCCTGTGGTAGTAGGTTGGTAGACAGCAACCACCCAGGGAGGTACTACTGCCCTGTGGTAGTAGGTTGGTAGACAGCAACCACCCAGAGAGGTACTACCATCCTGTGGTAGTAGGTTAGTAGACAGCAGCCACCCAGGGAGGTACTATCATCCTTTGGTAATAGGTTGGTAGACAGCAACCACCCAGGGAGGTACTACCATCCTGTGGTAGTAGGTTGGTAGACAGCAGCCACCCAGGAAGGCACTACCATTCTGTGATAGTAGGTTGGTAGACAGCAACCACCCAAAGAGGTACTACCATTCTGTGGTAGTAGGTTGGTAGACAGGAGCTGCCCAGGGAGGTACTACTGTCCTGTGGTTGTATGTTGGTAGACAGCAACCACCCAGGGAGATACTACCATCCTGCCAAGTGAGTGTAAAACAGAAGCCTGTAATTATTTTACATGTTGGTAGGATTGCTGGTATCTTTTTTTTCTGTCTCATAAACATGCAAGATTTCAGGTACATCTTGCTATTTCTACTTACACTTAGGTCACACTACACTTGCATGTACAAGCATATATATACACACCCCTCTGGGTTTTCTTCTGTTTTCTTCCCAATTCTTCTTGTTTATTTCCTCTCTTCTCCATGGGGGAGTGGAACAGAATTCTTCCTTCATAAGCCATGCATGTCGTAAGAGGCGCCTAAAATGCCGAGAGCAAGGGGCTAGTAACCCCTTCTCCTGTATGCATTACTAAAGTTAAAAAGAGAAACTTTTGTTTTTTTCTTTTTGGGCCACCCTGCCTCGGTGGGATACGGCTGGTGTGTTGAAAGAAGAAAGTAGTAGTAGTGCACCTGGATGTACAGAAAATATACAGTGGACCCCCGGTTAACGATATTTTTTCACTCCAGAAGTATGTTCAGGTGCCAGTACTGACCGAATTTGTTCCCATAAGAAATATTGTGAAGTAGATTAGTTCATTTCAGACCCCCAAACATACACATACAAACGCACTTACATAAATACACTTACATAATTGGTCACATTCGGAGGTAATCGTTATGCGGGGGTCCACTGTATATTGTATATATGTGTATGCTACTGCCATATTAATGGTAAAATTTTTCCTATTGCTAAAATCATTTAATTACAGGATTTATCATAATTGTTATTGTATCTTTATGATTTAGTATTTACTCAGTATAATTTAGCTTTGGCTCGGTATAATTTAGCTTTGGCTCAGTATAATTAAGCTTTGGCTCAGTATATAATTCAGCTTTGGCTCAGTATAATTCAGCTTTGAGCTCATATCATTCATTCTCCTGTCATAAAATCTATTATTATTGTTATAAATATTATGATAACATAGAGGTGTATATTAGCACTGCAGCCTTGGTACTACCTTTGATTAAAAATAAAATAAATGCAGCTTACAGAGAGACTATAAACCTGTTAGGGTCATGTAGCAGCTAAGGAATGGCAGGTTGTTTGGTTTGATTCAAGGAAGGGGAGTGTAGCTCCAGTTTCTTGGATCTAGAGCCCTGTACTAGCAGCAAGGTTTTGTACTTCTCTTGAAGGGGCTTTAAGAAGCTTTACATATCTTCTTCTCTTAATCAAAGGAAATTGAGCTGCCCTCCCTTTCCTTGGATCAAACTTGATTGTCCTTAGCTCCCCCGAGCATTGTACAACCCTAATGGGTTTGGCACTTTCCTACTGAATACAGCAGGTTAGGTTCCAGGGTACTGCTGTAAAGAGAAAATTGCTGTAAAGTGAAAATTGCCTTTTTGTATAGCCTTTTTTCATTTTCAAATGCATATAAAAGCTAGACAGTATGTTTAGACTATAATATATTAACCCTTTGACTGTTTCGGTCGTATATATACGTCTTACGAGCCACCGTGTTGGACGTATATATACGGCTTCAAATCAAGCAGGAGAAAGCTGGTAGGCCCACATGTGAGAGAATGAGTCTGTGTGATCAGTGTGCACCATATAAAAAAAATCTTGCAGTAAGCAGTGCATAATGAGACCAAAAAAAATCTGCCAACCTTTTTTTTTTAATTAAAATGCCAACTTTGTGGTCTATTTTCGTATAGTATTTATGGTTGTATTCTCGTTTTCTTGGTGTCATTTGATAGAATGGAAAATATATTATGGAAATAGAGGTGATTTTGATTGGTTTTACTATGAAAAGAACCTTGAAATGGAGCTCAAAGTAGGGGAAATGTTTGATTTTTGCCGATGTTCAAAAATAAACAAATTATGTCATTTTCCGATAAATGTCCAAGTACCCATTCTGATATGCAGTCATGAATGGGTTAACATTATTTATACAATTATTGCAATATTGCAGTAGTCTGCATAACAGTAAATCTTCTATTTTTTGTTTGAATAAAAATTCAAAATAGAAAGCAAGAGTAATATCAGAGGCGCTTGGAGACGTGACTAATGAGCAAAGAAAATGGTATTTTAGAGCCAGGAATGTCTGCATTGTTCATTCTGGACCCTATTTTGAAATTGTCATATTTTTTTAATTTTCATGAAATTGGCCAAATTGCAAATATCTGACCATGTTATTGGGTAGTTGCAATCAGTAAATGGGCAGTTTCTTGTACTCAATTGATAGGAAAAATGGAGTTCTAAAGAAATAGCTATGAGTTTGGTCGACTGTAACAATGGAATTAGCCGAAAATAGGGCTCAAAGGGGGCGAAATCACCGATTCGTAAATATCGCCGAGGTTGCTATCTTCTCGAGAGCGTAATTCCATCAGTTTTACATCAAATTTTGTTCTTTTGGTGTCATTACAATTGGGAAAAGATTCTCTATTATTTCGTAAGAAAAAATAATTTTTTTAGGGGGAAATTTTGCGACACCAGGAGACACCTCAGGATTTGGGGTTGCGACAGTCAAGGGGTTAAGTGAGCAATATAACTAGGCCTAAAAAATGCATATGCAGTACACTTAATACTTACCTAAACATATTTTCGTCCTTGGCTTATAGTAAGTGGTGAATATATTTATTGTAGGAAGTCTAAATAAATGAAGAATGGGTATAATAGAAAACCAGTGTTTTAGGGAAAGGCTGTAAAGCGAACCACTATAAAGCAGGGCCCACCTGTAATAATTTGTTTTTGCAGGAGTACAAGTTGTCGCTGAAGTGTCTGGACGAGAACAACTTCAACCGAGGCATCTGTGTCGATTATTTTGAGAATTACAAGAAGTGTAAAGAATTTTGGGTATGTAGAATTTTATGACATGATTCAAATATATTAAGACTGAGTGAGCAGTGTTTCTTAGCAGTGGTTAAGGAAATAAAATTAACTCATTGCAGTTTGGAAGGGCATCTCGTCTGTAGTGTCGGCACATCTCTGGCAAGACAGTGATAGTGTGATTGATGGTGAAAGCATTTTTTTTTTTTTTTTTTTTTTTGCTCACCCTGTCTCGGTGGGACACAGTCAGTGTGTTAAAAAGTCTTTAATATTCCATTTTCATCAATCTTAATTCCTTATTTTAGATTGCAATGTGTCATTGCACTGTAACATAGGTCATAGCAGGGCTCAGAATTGTGGTATATTAGTTGTTATAACTAACCATTGGAATGTTTTGAAAGTTATTTTATTATGCCGTGTAGAGAAATTCTTGATGTTTATTATAGTTAGATTACCCTCGCTATAACTGACTTGTAAAATTATAGACAAAATTTCCTGGTTAAATTGACCTTTTAACTCCTTTATTTTCAAAATTCATTGCAGTATTTATGTAAATTGTGTGTACAGTGCTATGTTAAGTATATGGTAGAGTACTTTGGTGCATTTTTTTTTTTTTTGCAATTAAAATGTTCCTCTTTTTACTACTTTTTTGCTAATACAAAGTGCCTCTTTTTGCTATTTTTTTGTTTTGTTATTTTTTAACTATTTTGGCTTAAAGGACACTTAGACAATTTCCCATTAGTCTGTTATATCAAGGTGTTTACTGTATTAACACACTTCATGCACATACAGTGGACCCCGCATAACGATCACCTCCGAATGCGACCAATTATGTAAGTGTATTTATGTAAGTGCATTTGTACGTGTATGTTTGGGGGTCTGAAATGGACTAATCTACTTCACAATATTCCTTATGGGAACAAATTTGGTCAGTACTGGCACCTGAACATACTTCTGGAGTGAAAAAATATCGTTAACCGGGGGTCCACTGTATTTGAAGTCACAGTGACACAGGTCATTCACACGGATGTCATCTTTTCACTTGCTCTTATGTTTACCAAAATTCCTGTGTATCTTGGAAAGTCATGTGAAAACTGGTATTTGTAATAAAGTTGGTAGAATTACCGACAATATGTGAAGTAAAAGGACACAAGTGCAACTAATGTGACATTTTATTGTGGCAACGTTTCACTCTTCAGGAGCTTTATCAAGCCATTACAAACAATACATTTACCATTTAAAGATGAAACAGTAAGCTTCACAACAGTTTTATAGTGTTATTCTATAACCTATTTCATTATTAAATATGTAGTAAACACACTGAGACATTGATCTCGATAATTTTGTGAGGGAGACTTCTCGTGATAAATGGAAATATGAGTAACAAAAGTTGAAGTTGAAAGATTTATTTATTTACCTTACAAATCTAGCATATTTCATTTGACTCCTCATGGTATCTTTTGGTACATTATCACATTAAGAAGCACTTAAATGATCAGTTTGGTTAACTAAAATTTTTATAACTAATTAGTAATTGTAATTTTCACACTTAATAATAGTAGGTAGTAGTTATTCATATTCCTATATCTAATAAGTTATTTTATTCATTATATACCAGTGTTTATGAGCACTGATTATTTTAGTATATGTTTTTGGATATGCGATCGCTCTTGTTTTGGCTGTGGAAGGATGTTTAGGATTTTGTCAAACAAGATTAATCCTCACTGTCATTATCAAGAAATGCAAAGGTGCCCATATTGTCCTTAATTTGTTTTTCTTGTAGTTCACTTCATATTCCATTTCATAGCCTGTATGCTTTTGTACAATGATAACTTTTACTGCATAACATTGTTGCTTTGTGAATGTAATTACAGTAGGACCCCCGTATCCATGGGAGGATATGTTCCAAGGACCTGCCACGGATACCGAAACCATGGATAGTAGCAAACCCTACATATAAGTCCTATACATACCTATTATAAGTTTAATTGAAGTGGAATGGAATTCTTCCTCTGTATGCCATGCGTGTTGTAAGAGGCAACTAAAATGCTGGGAGCAATGGGCTAGTAACCCCTTCTCCTGTATATATTACCAAAGTTAAAAAGAGAAACTTTTGTTTTTCTTTTTGGACCATCCTGCTTAAATGGGATTTGTCCAGCTTGTTGAAAGAAGAACATACCTATTATAAGTTTAATTGATAAATTATGCACAATAAGTGGAAAATTATCACTTTTTCACTGATGGGAAGCACTTTACGGCTTCTTTCAGGCTTTGAAGAACTGCCAGCTTCTCTACTTTTGTGCTTTGGGACCATTATTATTCAAAATTAAAAGGTAGTTTTGGGCCACAACAAACTGGATAACTGAAACTGCAGATACTGAATCAGTGGATACTTGGGTTCTACAGGATTATAAAGCTACCATTTCCTGAATCTAGTTTGGAGTCTTGTTTCTTTCTTTTTGGTGTGTGTGTGTGTGTGTGTGTGTGTGTGTGTGTGTGTGTGTGTGTGTGTGTGTGTGTGTGTGTGTGTGTGTGTGTGTGTGTGTGTGCACTTTGATGCTTCAGGGTGTGTTGTTAGTGACAAAGTTGCCACATTGTCATCTGCACGCACCATAGTTGTAGAATCTCTACAACTACGGTGCTCTTCACACTAACTCCAAGGCTGAGGGACTGATTGTCTCATGTTTTGTATATAGTTCTGCTGTCTTTAAGTTATGTCCTAGAATTTGTATTGATTAAGCCACTGGTTGGCGAAACGTCTACAAATAAAGATACTACCCAGATGTTGCACTTGTCTAATTTTCATCTTGTCGGTACTGTATACCATTCATGTACAACTTGCCAGACACTGCAACATCATGGAGTCTTGGTTCAGAGGACATCTACATAACCTTCTTCATGGCTACTGCAGCTACTAGTACCACTAACCTATCCCTTGGGTATGACCTACTTCCACTGGGAAATCCCTTCTACAAGTGACTATGCCATCGTCTGCTACCCGTCCCTATCCACTGATGCCTATATGAGTGTCAGCCTCCTTGCCTGTGCTCCAGAATCTCTACAACTATGGTGCTCTTCACACCAACTCCAAGGCTGAGGGACTGATTACCTCATCTTTTGTATATAGTTCTACTGTCTTCAAGTTATGTCCTAGAATCTGTATTGATAAAGCCACTGGATGGTGAAATGTCTTCAATTAAAGATACCCAGATGTTGTACATGTGTGATTTTCATGTTCAAAATGGTATAAAATACCGACAAGTTGGTGAGTAAGACACACGTGCAGCAGTTGGATGTCTTTATTGTTGAAACGTTTCTCTTACAGTCTAATGCAGAGGAGAATATATTGTAGGCAGCAAGAGTAGTGGCAATGTAACAATGACGTAATCAGTCCATCAACCTTAGAAAGATAGTTTGAGGTGATCAATCCCTCAGTCTTGAGAAGAGTTCAGCTCCATGGTCTGGAACAATATCATTCCAGACCAGGGAGGTGTAACATCTTGTAGGAGTGAGGCAGAGCCATATATGAGTGTGAGAGAAGTGTTTGAGGGAATGGATAGAAAGAAAGGGGGTAAAACAGCTGGAATAACCAGAATCAAAACAGAAATGTTGAAAATAGGTGGGGATGTAATTTTGGAATGGTTGGTGTGCGTGTTCAATATTTGCATGAAGGAAGGAGGGTACCTAGGAATTGACAGAGCATGCATAGTTCCTTTTTATAAAGAAAAAGGGGATCAAAGAGAGTATAAAAGTTGTAGGGGAATAAGACTGTTGTGTATATCAGGTAAATTATTATATGATAGAGTTGTTCCTAGGTAGTAGGTTGGTAGACAGCAGCTACCCAGGGAGGTACTACTGTCCTGCCAAATGAGTGTAAAACAGAAGCCTGTAATTGTTTTACATGATGGTAGGATTGCTAGTATCTTTTTTTCTGTTTCATAAACATGTAAGATTTGAGGCATGTCTTGCAACTTCTCCTTACACTTAGGTCACACTGCACATGCATGTCCATGCATATATACACACACACACCCCTCTGGGTTTTCTTCTTTCTTACTATTTCCTCTTATTTCCTTGGTGAAGTGGAACAGAATTCTTCATCTGTGAGCCATGCGTGTCGTAAGAGGTGACTAACATGCCGGGAGCAAGGGGCTAGTAACCCCTTCTCCTGTATACTTTACTAAAGTTAAAAAGAGAGACTTTTGTTTTTCTTTTCGGGCCATCCTGCCTCAGTGGGATATGGCCAGTTTGTTGAAAGAAAGAAGAAAAAGTTGTTGTTGAAAGATTTAAGGGTAATGCAGGAAGTAGAATTGCAGAAGAACATGGAGGTTTTAGGAGTGGATGATGTGTTAACTAAGAATTTAACAGTTCATCACTGCTCATTTTTCACAAAAACTGCATTAAAATATTAAATTGTAATCATTAGCCACAACTCTGCTGCTGTCTACATAACATGCATTGAGTGGTGGTATTAGTTTTAAACTTGTGTAAACACAGATTGTAATGAAATTATTCTATAGAAATTAAATTGGGTTTTGGAAATAATATTGTGTTACTGATCATGATTGTTGTACCTTGCAGGAAGACATTAGAATACAGCGACGCAAAGCAGGCATTGTTCCAAATTTGCCGACTGCAGCAGAGCGTCAGCAAATCAAGATGGAATATATGGAAAAGTTGAGAACTGGGAGGCAAACATAAGTTGGTAGGAATGTGTATGTATTTCACTTATTTTGTTTATGCTGTATATATTTTAAAGTGGAGAAGAATCCTTCCTCCATAAACCATGTGTGTCGTAAGAGGTGACTAAAATGCTGGGAACAAGTGGCTGGTAATCCTTTCTGTATAAATTACTAAATGTAAAAAGAACAACTTTCGTTTTTCTTTTAGGTCATCTCGCCTTGGTGGGATGCAGCCAGTGTGTTAAAAAAAAAAAAACGTTTATCATAAATATATTGTGTACTAATTTCCTTGGGATGGGAGGGAAAGTGGTCAGTCATGAGGTGAAGGTGATGCTGTATTTTTATATCAAGTAATGACAATCTGATTCATGATTTTGGTCAAATAATAGTGTGTGATACTTGGTTTTTGGGACCTGGACCCTTGTAGACCCTCCCTCCCTCTCATACTCCATGTATTGACCTATTGATTTATTCAACTTCGTGCAGCACTGGACTTTGATGGGCAATAGTAAATAATTTCCATGATGGTGAACACTTCACCATTGTTCTTTCATTGCTGCTTCTGGTGGCACTTCTGATGTGTGATTTCTTTTAAGTACCATGCCCTGCTTTGTTCTCCTTCCACTGATCCCTCTTGTATTGATGAGTTATTACATTTAACTGTTATATTTCTTCTCTCGGCTGCCAGAGTAGTTATGCTACAGACTCTGGGAGAAAATTGGCCGAGAGAGAGAGAGAGAGAGAGAGAGAGAGAGAGAGAGAGAGAGAGTGTGAGTGTGAGAGAGAGAGAGAGTGAGAGAGAGTGAGAGAGTGTGAGAGAGAGTGAGAGTGAGAGAGAGTGAGAGAGAGAGAGAGAGTGTGAGAGAGAGAGAGAGAGTGTGAGAGAGAGAGTGAGTGTGAGAGAGAGAGAGAGAGAGAGAGAGAGAGAGAGAGAGTGTGAGTGAGTGTGAGAGAGAGAGAGTGTGAGAGAGTGTGAGAGAGAGAGAGTGTGAGAGAGTGTGAGAGAGAGAGAGTGTGAGAGAGTGTGAGAGAGAGAGAGTGTGAGAGAGTGTGAGAGAGAGAGAGTGTGAGAGAGTGTGAGAGAGAGTGTGAGAGAGTGTGAGAGAGAGAGAGTGTGAGAGAGTGTGAGAGAGAGAGAGTGTGAGAGAGTGTGAGAGAGAGAGAGTGTGAGAGAGTGTGAGAGAGAGAGAGTGTGAGAGAGTGTGAGAGAGAGAGAGGAGAGATGTGAGAGAGAGAGAGAGAGAGTGAGAGAGAGTGTGAGAGAGAGAGAGAGGAAGGAGAGAGAGAGAGTGGGAGAGAAGAGGAGAGAGAGTGAGAGAGAGAGTGAGAGAGTGAGAGAGAGTGAGAGTGAGTGTGTGTGTGTGAGAGTGTGTGTGTGTGAGAGAGTGAGTGAGTTGGTAGGTAAGACACATAGGCAACAGTTAGGCAACTTTATTCCGAAACGTTTCGCCTACACAGTAGGCTTCTTCAGTTGAATACAGAAAGTAGGCAGGAACAGTAGAGATGTGAAGACGATGTAATCAGTCCATCACTCTTGAAGTCGTAGAATTTTGAGGTTGTCAGTCCCTCAGCCTGGAGAAGTTCAGTTCCATAGTCAGGAACTATCTGAAGATCAAGCGACAGTGCGGAGACATAAATACTGTCGAAAGGAGAGGTGCAGAGTAGTAGTAGTAGTGAGAATGTAGCCACTGAGAGGTCAGGTCCCTCTCAGATCCAACAGTTCTCACTTGAAAGGGTTGTCCAAGGTGTTTTTCTGAGGGACTGACAACCTCAAAATTCTACGACTTCAAGGGTGATGGACTGATTACATCGTCTTCACATCTCTACTGTTCCTGCCTACTTTCTGTATTCGACTGAAGAAGCCTACTGTGTAGGCGAAACGTTTCGGAATAAAGTTGCCTAACTGTTGCCTATGTGTCTTACCTACCAACCTGTCGGTATTGTATATCATTTTGATGTTCAAGTGAGTAAGTAAGTGAGTAAGTAAGTGAGTGAGTAAGTGAGTAAGTGAGTGAGTGAGTGAGTAAGTAAGTAAGTGAGTAAGTGAGTAAGTGAGTGAGTAAGTGAGTAAGTAAGTGAGTAAGTAAGTGAGTAAGTAAGTGAGTAAGTGAGTAAGTGAGTAAGTAAGTGAGTGAGTAAGTGAGTAAGTAAGTGAGTAAGTGAGTGAGTAAGTAAGTAAGTAAGTAAGTAAGTAAGTAAGTAAGTAAGTAAGTAAGTAAGTAAGTAAGTAAGTAAGTAAGTAAGTAAGTATAGGTAATGAGGTGAGGGTCGAAGAGGTATGGGATGGATGTAAGACTGCAGCGCTAGTGTGTGCAGCAGAAGCTTGGTGGTCGTTGAACTGTGATTGGCTAATTCTTCTCGGGTGTGCTTCATGGGGGACATTATTGGTTCAGTTCTGCTACTGCTCACCATCTAGATTTCTAAATGAGTGGCTGTCATGTGTGCCTGTTGTTGTATGCAAGCACATGCCAATAGGTTATGCAAGCATTTTAATTGTATAAGAATTTTATGTTAAACCAAAATGCTTGTCTAACCTATTGGCATGACCTCTATTTCTGCTATTGCACTTTGCCCACATATAATGCTGCCTCCAGCTGCTTCACATTACCTGTCTTCAGTATATTAGCCCCTCACCATACATGTGCTGTACTTTTATCAAGGCTGATGGACTGAACACATCATCTCCAGACTGAGGGACTGATTACCTCAAACTTCTTCCTCACTTCTTCCACCATTATTCTCTGTATTGGACTGATAAAGCTGCAGGTTGGAGAAGTGTTTCCACAGTAAAAATACTTAAATGTTGCCAAAATGTCTCGTTCATCTACGTGTTGGTTATCTAACCCATTTGTGCAATAAAGTATAAAAACGCTTAGTGCAAGCAGATTGTTTAATTATTGGGTATAGAGGTTCATTGTGCTCTTGTTAATACTTTGCTTTATCAGTGTCACTATCAGTCATATACTGGCAGCCTTTTTATTTAAGGTGCTAATCTCTTATCTCTGTGGTAGCAGGTTCAGCTTATAACTGATAGGACTCATGTGTACCCTGGGTGAGTTGAAACATATGGATAAGTCTTCTTGCACCTGCTGTCCCTAGTTGTAAACAGATTCCTGGGTGTTAATTGGCTGGTGTGAATCACATCGTTGGAGAGAGCACCTAGGGACCCCCGAAGGAATAATGGCACATTTCTTTGGCTTTCTTGGGGTTTCCTTGGTTATTACCTCATCAGCATTAATAATGCCACAAGAACATGGGCAACCAAATATAAATGCATTCATTGTTGACAACAGTACTATACTCCAGTACCCCAGTGGCTGTTAAAAGGAAACCAGCCTTGATGTAATCTCTGCATATCAAGGTCATTGTAGATACTACATGCAGGCAAACACAGTATAAACAACCAAACACAGGACAAACAAGCAAACACAGGACAAGCAAGGAGGCACAGGACAGGCAAGGAGGCACAGGACAGGCAAGGAGACACAGGACAAGAAAGGAGAGACAGGACAAGCAAGGAGAGACAGGACAAGCAAGGAGAGACAGGACAAGCAAGGAGAGACAGGACAAGAAAGGAGAGACAGGACAAGCAAGGAGAGACAGGGCAAGCAAGGAGACACAGGACAAGCAAGGAGACACAGGACAAGCAAGGAGAGACAGGACAAGCAAGGAGAGACAGGACAAGCAAGGAGAGACAGGACAAGCAAGGGGACACAGGAGAAGCAAGGAGACATAGGACAAGCAAGGAGACACAGGACAAGCAAGGAGAGACAGGACAAGAAAGGAGAGACAGGACAAGCAAGGAGACACAGGGCAAGCAAGGAGACACAGGACGAGCAAGGAGACACAGGACAGGCAAGGAGGAACAGGACAAGCAAGGAGAGACAGGACAAGCAAGGAGACACAGGACGAGCAAGGAGACACAGGACAGGGAAGGAGGAACAGGACAAGCAAGGAGAGACAGGACAAGCAAGGAGACACAGGACGAGCAAGGAGACACAGGACAGGCAAGGAGGAACAGGACAAGCAAGGAGAGACAGGACAAGCAAGGAGACACAGGACAAGCAAGGAGAGACAGGACAAGCAAGAAGAGACAGCACAAACAAGCAAACACAGCACACACAAGCAAAGCACAAACAAGCAAACACAGTGCAAGTAAGCAAACACTGCAGAAGTAAGCAAACAAAAAAGCACACATAAGCAAACACAGGACAAGCAAGCAAAAGTTTAGCCACTTTAATTTCTGAATATAAGAGATTTGTTAACCGCACGAGACACTGGAGCAGCATTCCAACATACATGTATTAGCATTTATGTTTATTGTTGCTGGTATTCTTTTCTTTCTTTCAACACACAGGTTGTATCCCACCGAGGCAAGGTGGCCCAAAAGGAAAAACAAAAAGTTTCTCCTCTCACATTTAGTAATATATACAGGAGAAGGGGTTACTAGCCCCTTGCTCCTGGCATTTTAGTCGCCTCTTACAACACACATAGCTTACGGAGGAAGAATTCTGTTCCACTTCCCCATGGAGGTAAGAGGAAATAAACAAGAACAAGAACTAGAAAGAAAATAGAAGAAAACCCAGAGGGGTGTGTATATATATGCTTGTACATGCGTGTTGTAAAAGTCAACTAAAATGCCGGGAACAATGGGCTAGTAACCCCTTTTCCTGTAAAGATTACTAAAAAGAATAAGAAGAAGAAAATTGTCAAAGTGGGAAATCTGAATGTGCGTGGATGTTGTGCAAATGATAAGAAAGAGTTGATTGTGGATGTTATGAATGAGAAGAAGCTGGATGTCCTGGCTTTAAGTGAAACAAAGCTGAAGGGGATGGGAGAGTTTCAATGGAGAGGAATAAATGGGATTAGGTCAGGGGTTTCAAATAGAGTTAGAGCTAAAGAAGGAGTAGCAATAATGTTGAAGGATAAGCTATGGCAGGAAAAGAGGGACTATAAATGTATTAATTCAAGGATTATGTGGAGTAAAATAAAGATTGGATGTGAAAAGTGGGTTATAGTAAGCGTGTATGCAC